CCGCCCGCGCTCTCCTGGGTGGGCGCCCTGCGCTCCGGGAAGCAGAAGCTGCACGTCTCCACCGGCTCGGGCGCCGCGCCCGCAGCGCCACCAGCTTCCGCCGCAGGGTCTGTGGGGACAAAGAGGGGTCGGCTGGCCGCGCAGCCTGGACTCAAGCCGTCTCCGGGTCCAGAAGGGCCACCGGGCGCCCTCGGGCTCGCCCAGTTCACGCTCTGACGCGGGCACACTCAGACTTCCGGGTCTTGCCCTCCCCTCCGCTCCGCCCCAAACCGGCTCCCGCCGCACCCCAGGCCGGCCCGCAGCGCTGCAGGACGCCCTCCCGCTCCCGCCTCTCACCTCCTGGGTCGGCCCCTCGGGTGGGGTGACCGCTCGCACCCACCAGGCCCCCTCCCACGTGACTTAAGGTGGTTTAAACATCGGTAAACTGTGCGGGCACCTCTCCCGGAAACGTCTGGCAAAATGCTGTGCGTGTGGAAGCAAGGGCAGGGGCTGACTGCGGGGGTGACCCAGGGCTTGTCACGGGCAGCATCCCGCAGCCTCGTTTAAACGCTTACCGTGCAAGGACTTGTCCCGGGCTCTGCACCGGCCTGTGGGCGGCAGGCTGGACAGCGCGTCACCCCTTCTCTTGAGGAAGCAGGCCACCGCCACCAGGAAGCAGCAGATGATGGCGCAGAGACACAGCCCCAGCGTGCAGTAGACCAGGGCCAGCTGGTCGCTGCTCAGCTTTGGTCCTAGCGGGGCTGAGAGAGAGCGGAGACCTGGTTGGGGAGCAGTCTCTCCCCAGGGCCCTCCACCATCCACAGCCCATACCCCCGGGCCCATTGCCATAGTCCTCTCCCGGTTAGGCCCGAGCAGTCCACACGGCCAGCGCCAGCCCTGGCCTCCTCTGGCTGATGGAGAGGCGAATTCCTTTCCTGACCTGAGGCCTGGCTGGCACTTTCTGGAGGAGGATTTGACTCCTCCCCTCCTGCTCCCCCACTGGCCTGGGAGCCAACTGAATGCAGGGAGCATCTGGGACCCCACCTTGCCGCCACACACACCAGCACAGCAGAGAAAGGAAGCCAGCACAAGACTGCTCCTGAGTGGAAATAGGATGCTGTGTTCACGCTAGGAGAAGACGTGTACGTTTCAGATGTTTTCAGCATGAGGTTTAAGCATACAGACCACACTCTGCAGCTGTGACAGTGTGTGTTCAAAGCTGGGCCTCCAGGGACTCTGTCCCTAGCACTGTCCTCTCTCACCCCATGAAAGACCCCGAGGGTGATCAGTGGATCTGCCCAGCTGAACCTCACCCCACAGAGCAGTGAGCAGTGGTAAAGTGGCTGCGGATTTTAGGGCGCTGAGCTTCGAGTGGCTACAAGCCGATGCCTGACAGGCACAGAGCCTTTGCCCCTGAGCAAGTGAGGACCTGTCCCTGCCTATCTTTGCTTTTCCTGCTCAGACCACTGACTTGCATTTTCCTGTTAGGAATGAAAATATTTCCTGCTTGGAGACCTGCTCATAGATATTCTTTTCCAAGCCTCTGAACTAAGAGGAAAAATACACATTAAAACTACAAAAAAGTCACTTGCTACCTGCCACACAAAGGTATCAGAAAACAGGGGCCTGATCTTCAGGAATCCTGGTGAGCTGCCCCTGCACCTCCCTGACCAGCATGTGGGCAGGCAGAGCCCTGGTCACCTTCTTGGGCCTCAGTGGCTACTCCCTGCACCTCCTGCTGAGGGCACTGGGCTGAAACTAGCACAGCAGCCTCAGGGGCTCCACCCTCACCTCTTCCCTGCCAGCTTGGGAACTGAGCAGGGTCCTGGGCAAACTCTGAAGCCTCGGTGACTACAACCTGCACCCCGTCCACCCTTGTGGAAGCTGGGCTGAACCCTGGACAGCTTCAGGAACTCCAGTGAGTCTCCCCTGCCACTCCCTTACTAGTCTGCGAGCCAACTGAATGCAGGGAGCATCTGGGACCCCACCTTGCTGCCACACACACCAGCACAGGAGCCATGCTGAGCACTGGAGAACTTCAGATCCTTGCCCTGCCACTCCCACCCCATCGTAGGAGTGAGGCTGAGCTCCAGGAAACCTCTGAATCTTCAAAAATGACAAAACAAAGGAGCAAAATGTAATCTCAGACCTCTTCCCTACCCAGAACAAGTCCAGGAGACTTCAACACAGAAGAGCCTGGAAATCATACACCTGAAATTTCTGAAATGATACCAACTGAAGTAAAGGAACAACTGCATCAGGCCATAGAAGACATCAGAGCAGAAATAATCTCTCAAGGGCCAGGGATATAGCTCAGTGGCACAGTGCCTGCTTGGCAAGTGCAAGGTCCTGAGTTTGATTCCTGCCACCAAAAAAAAAGAAAAGAAATAATCTCTCAGGAAAGATAAGAAATGACAACAATAATGAAAGAATTGCTCAGCACATCCAAAGAAGACATTGGTAAGAAAATAGAGGAGCCTAGAAAACTCATGGAAACCTTGAGTGAATGATATAGAGAACTAGAATGCATGAAACAGATTCAAACAGATATCCAGGCAATTAAAAATTCCATTGAAAGCTGGCAAAACTGCCTGAAGGAAGCTGAAGATAGACTTTCAGACCTTGAAGACAGCATTGCCACTAATGAAACCTGAAAGGAAGGATCTCTTAAAAATAATAAGGAACCGGGAAATAACAATTCAACAACTGCAAGACAAAGTAAAGAAAAACAATATAAGATTAATAGGTATCAACAAAACAGCAGGGGTCAACACAAATGACATAAAAAGACTATTTGCAGAAATAATAGCAGAAAATTTCCCAGGCATGGAAAAAGAATTGGACATACAGATAAGTGAAGCATATAGAACTCCAATTTACCATAACCAAAATAAATCTACACCCAGACTTATAGTGATCAAGATCCCAGAAACTCAACAAGAGATTAGAATATTAAAAGCTGTTAGAGAAAAAAAAACAGATCACCTAAAAAGGAGAGCCCATCAGAATCATGGCAGATTTCTCAACACAAACCATCAAGTCAAGGAGAGCTTGGAGTGAAATATTTCAGGTAGTGAAAGAAAACTTCCAACCCAGATTGCTGTACCCTGTTAAACTATCCTTCAGATTTAATGGAGAAATAAAATGTTTTCATGATGAAGAACAACTGAAGAAATTCATGAGCACAAAAGCAATCCTACAAAGAGTTCTAAAAGATATTCTGCAAAGAGATAAAACAGACCACAACTTCAAGAACAGCAACACAAAAAACCACCAGAACAAGCAATTAAACAGAGGGAAACAAGGGGAACTAACAGCAGGAAAACAACAGGACAAAGATAAGCCAACACATATCACTTATAACCATCAGTGTAAATGGTCTCAATGCACCAATCAAAACAAGCAGACTGGCAGAGTGGATCAAGAAACAAACCCCAACTATATGCTGAATAGAAGAAACACATTTAACTCAAAAGGAAATTCATAGACTGAAAATTAAACGATGGAAAACAACACTCCATGCGACAAGAACCCAGAAAAAAAGCAAGTGTAGCTATTCTGTTTGCAGACAATGTGAACTTCAAACCAAGAACAATCAAAAGAGGTAAAGAAGGTCACTACATACTTGTGAGGGGAAAACTGCAAGAGGAAGAGATAACAATCATAAACATCTATGCACCCAGTCCAGGAGTACCCAATTATATAAGACAAATTTTAACAGACATGAAAAATGAAATAAGCAAAAACACAGTCATAACAGCGGACTCTTTAACACCTCATTGTCATAAAGAGGTAGATCAACTACACAAAAAATCAGCAAAGAAGTGACACAACTAAACTTGTGAGCAAATGGACTTAGTAGACCTTTACAGAGTGTTCTATCCAACAGCATCAGAATACACATTCTTCACAGCTACACATGGGATGTTCTCTAAAACAGACCATATGCTAGCACATAGAACATGCTTAAGTAAATGGAAAGGAACTGAAATTATCCCATGCATACTATCAGACCATAGTGCAGTGAAATGAAATTAATGAGAAAAGAAATCACAAAAACTCCATAAACATATGGAAATTAAATAACACCCTCCTGAGCAACCAATGGGTCACAGATGAAATCAAAGTAGAAATTAAACACTATTTACAATCAAATGAAAATGCAGACACAACTTATAGGAACCTGTGGGACACAATGAAAGCAGTCCTCAGAGGGAAATTTATAGTGGTGAAGTCTTACCTCAGGAAAACAGAATGAGCACAAATCAACAATCTTATGCTGCACCTCAAGCTTCTAGAAAAAGGACAGCAAGTCAAACACAAAGCCCAAAGAAGACAGGAAATTATAAAGCTCAGGGCAGAAATTAATGCAGTGGAAACTAAAAAAATTCAGAGAATTAATGAATCAAGGAGTTGGTTCTTTGAAAGAATAAATAAAATAGATAAACCCCTAGCCAACCTTATCAAAAAAAGGAAAGAAAAAACTGAAATACATGCAATAAGGAATGAAGGGATGAAATCACTACAGATCCTGAAGAAATTCAGAAGATCATCAATACCTACTTTGGAAATCTTTACTCTCAGGATGGAAAACAGAGGAAATGGATAGGTTTC